AGTTTTCTTGAAATTATTTTTCTCTTCGTTGAGCTTCCCTAAATTAAGAGATTGTTTAAAAGTGAAAATTAAAAAGTCCAAATTTTGTTTTTGGCTACTTAACCCTTTCCCCAAACTTCCTAATGGTCACTGACTAGGGACTTCGGTTCTGAAAATGCCCAACTATCAAATCGTTAAATACATTTGGAAACAGGATAGCGTGTCAAGGACACAGTGAGGTGACTGGCTCTTCTCACCCACTCCTGCACAGTAGAAAATCAAATAATTCCCCAGAGAATTCTAGGGAGTCCTAACTGAGATGTTTCCTTTCATTCCTTGGATTCTAGTTCTGCCACAGAGGCGAAGGTGCTTTGGCTAAAGAGGCATAACCCATAAATATCGAGCACAACTCCAGAAGGGTTGCTTTAAACATTCGTGGGCCTAGTTTCTTTCATTCATACATCTATTGAGCAAAGGTTGACTATATATTCAGCAAGTATAAGGCACTGTTCTAAGACCATAGACTAAACACATTAGGTCATTGTTCTAATGGGGCCTACAGCTTAGCCGTTGGAGACAGATAATCAAAAAAGAAATATGTAGTTTTTTGGAGGGAATTAGAGCTATGAAGAACAGCAAAGTGAAGGAGAAGGTGGGGCAGGTGAAATAGTTCAAAGAAAGTGTCTCTGTTAAGGAGCTATGAGTATATATCTAGAGAAAGTAAGGGAGCAAAGCATGTTGGAATTTTGCAGGGCAGGGGTGTTCAAGATTCAGGGAAATATTTGGAGAGGTTCTGGAAGAGCAGCATGTTTGACATGTCTGAGGAATAGCAGGGCTCAGGTGACTGAGGCAAAGTGAAGAAGAAGAAAATAGCAGGGATGATCAGGGAGGCAATGAAGGAAGGCCAAGGAGGTTGGCCAGGTTCAGGTGGGAAGGCTTTGGATGGTTTTCTGCACAGAAGTGACATGCAATGGCTTATGTTTTTAAAGAATAATTCTGGCTGCTGCATACTTTGAGAATATTAGCAGAGAGGCCATTAAGAGGTGTTAAAATAGTGCAGTAAAGATTTGGTGGGGTGGTAGCTGAGATTAGAATGATAGTGCTGAGGATGTGAGTTGTTTTCATTACAGGATGTGCTGATGACATGACTATGTGGGTCTGAGGGAAAACAATGAATTTAGTGTGGCCTATATGGCTCAGCTGGTTGAGCGTTGTCCTATGCACCAAGAGGTCACTGGCTCAATTCTAGGTCAGAGTATATTCCCAGGGTTATGGACTTGATCTCCAGTAGGGGGTGACTAGGAGGTAGCCAGTTGATCCATTGATGTTTCTCTTCATCAATGTTTCTATCTCTCTCTCTCCCTAAAAACCAATTTAAGAAAATGAATTTAAAACCACAAAATTTTGAAACAAATTTTGGAAGAATGCAGAGGCCATTTACTAGGAGGTAGAAAACTGTGGTAGGAGGTTGGTAGTTGATAGGAAGCTGATTCGTTGCGGGTTCTATTTCTGATGTGCTAAATTTGAGAGGCCAATTACACATCCAACAGTAATTCCTATATAAGACAGACAGAAGGAAATGCCAACTGAAAAACAAAACAAAATTTTTAAAAAACTTTATTATTTAGAAAATGGGAAGGAAATTCTTCACATAGCAAAAGAATATACTTTAAAAATATTCTCTGTAGCGTGGTATTGAAGAATAAAAATTAAAAATAAAAGATTTAGGCTTAAATCTTTTTTTCTTCCACTTTGTAAAAGTTATATAATATCTCTGAGCTTCAGTGTCCATATCTGCAAAATGGGTTCAAAAATAAATTTTCTAAATAATCCACATGGTCTTTTGGAGATTTGATCAGTTAAAAGTGTATCAGACTACTTAATAAACTCTAGATCAGTATTGCCTAAAAGTTGCTGACAAAAAGAATTTTCTGTTAAGGTTTTCTTTGGTTTGTTGTTTATGTGTATGTTTGCTTTTTGAAACTTACTTTATGACCCTAACTGAGGTCTACTGAGAAACTTCAAGAGTGCGCTTGTAGATGTCTTTCTGAAAATTCAAGTTTCCCAGTTTTCTCTCTCTCTCTCTAGTTTTAAGACACCTTGCTCCAAAATAATCAGATGTACATAGTGCATTTTTAACATTGTATTCCCTTTCATAAGCAGCTCTGTGGAGCCATATCAGTATTAAATAGGATTTGGCATATAAAACTTTGTTTTAGTCTACATTTTCTGATCGGTATGTTCCATGGGAAAACACAATTGTATTAACAGTTCTAAAGCCAAATCTACAGGACAATATTGAAGAACATGAAGTTGACCTTCAGAATCTACCATTTGTTTTGTACCATGTTATACTCATATATAGGAGCCCAGGTCCTCTTGTCCCAATAACTCGATTGATTTACACGCATTTACCTCAGTTCTTAACATCTTAATGGACTATGCCTCTTAAATATCTTAAATGTTAAGTAATAGATTTGCATATTCTAAAGTGGACATTTGAAAGAGGTACTATTCAATCTTAAAGAATGAAAAACAAAAACCGGAGCCTTTCCAGCAAGAGAATCTATTTAGTGGAAGGCACTATATTTGAACATTTTACACTATGCTGTTTGAAAAGCAGGATCTCTCATCTGCAGGAAAGATGACCCCCAACCAGTTTGAAAGAAGTTCCTGAGGGGACAGGGCAGCAGCAGGGGGCCCAAGTCAGTCTCCAAAGATGTCAAGGGGTCCTCTAAACTCTCATCTGGCATGTCTGTGCGAGGGGGATGACCAAGTAGCCGGGGGTGGGGGGCAGTACTAAAAGTAAAAAGGTCCACATTGGCCAAATAGAGGACTTGATTTCAATATTGTCACATAAAATTTCTCTAGGGCCATTTTTCACACACACACCACCCCCGCACCCCGTGATTGTCCTTCATGAAAGCTGTGGAAGAACTGAGTGGACTGGAGGTGTTACATGACTAAGTGATATCACAGTACAATTAAATTTTGGAAAGACACATAGAACCATAGAACATGAAGGTGGTAGTGATTAGTACTAGGGGTAATACTGCAGAGCAATATGGAGTTGATAACTAGACCTATTTCCCATCCAAAGGCCATGTGTCTTTATGGGTTCTTCACTGAATAAATGACCTACCATTGCAGCAGAGCCTGAGGCAATACATTCAATGTGCTCCTGCCTTCTCAGTCTGAGCCAGGTGGACATCTGAGGTGCTGGTCCAAACATCTCCTTGCTTGCTATGATTTCCTAGTTGCTCTCTGCATGACCTTGTACAGGCGACCTGGGTAGGTCCTTCTGCAATTCTGTCCTCTGAACATCTTTTGCTTAGATGAACTTTGGCATTTTATTGGGCATATTTCATATGTGCTGTATAATCTCAGTGTTAGGATTTCAAATCATGCACAATAAATTTTCAAGTCAAATTTATATCTTAGTTGCTTTTAAGTTACCTTTCCTTGACCTCAGATGACATTCTACAAGGAATACAAAACCACTTCAGTATTAGCTTAGTACTAGAAATTGGGAGTACAAATCCAATTTTCAGAAACAAACAACAAAACCTAGTTACCCTAATACTAATTTGACAAAATTTGGGCTATTATTGATATATGGCTTCTCATGTATAATGAAGTACATCAGAATGACAAAAAAAAAATCCTCTTATACATTTGTAGTAACTTTTTTCTAGTACTAGTCCTGAGCAATAGCTGTTTTCATAATGTTTTTCCATATAATCATTGGTTAAATTGGCCTACAGTCTGACACTTATGGTGGCTCAGACTTAAATTAAATATTAATTGAAGTTACTGTGTGCAGCCTAGCACACAGTTGATTTTTAGAGAGAGAGATAGAAACATTGATGAGAAAGAATATTGATTGGTCGCCTCCTGCATGCCCCCCACTGGGGATCAGGCCCACAACCTGGGCATGTGCCCTGACCGGGAATTGAACCGGCAACCTCTTGGTGCATGGGTTGATGCTCAACCACTGAGCCATACCAGCCGGGCTGTACATTTCTTTCTTTTTCTCTCTTTTTTTTCTTCTTAAGGTCTTACTTATACTGAAAGAATAAACACAAATATATTCACAAATGATCATTGATAAAGGCTGCTGTGAAGGAGTAATACCCAGCTATGAAAAGGAATGAGGGCTGTCTCCACGTGGGGAAGTTCTCCGTTACACACTGTACGGCATGCTTTTGTTCATCTAATGAACAAGGAAATGTGATTATATGTACATATGCACTTAGGTCAACTGCCTAAGCTCCTAGACTCTTGGGTTTTCTTCTGTATAATAAGAATAATTGCCCAGATGACTATTATGAAGATTAAGCACAGTAAAATTAGATATATGAAAGATCTTGGTGCCAAAGCACTAACGTTCCCTACTCTGTACCAGAAGACCTATTAGGGAAACCTGAGAGCTTAGAAAGAAATGGGAGGAGCCTTCTTACAGAGTCCATCTGCAGAAAGTTTGAGTTGAAATGGGTTGGGCAAAAGCAGCAATTTATTCATGTCTTACAAACATAGTCTTACAAACATCATACATTGCTGGCACGAAAGAACAGACACCATCCCGTACACCATGCTTCCTTCCAAATCACTGCTATTGAGTTACAACATCAGAACAAGTCAGTTACTGAGTAGTTACACAGTTCTTTAGATGTGAATACCTCCCCATGAGGGTGGTGAGATTGGCTAATCAGACAAACAATTAATTTACATGTTTAATACAGTGCAGGGTTTGTAACAGAATTCAAGATATTCACATTCATATTGTAATACAATATAAAACAGAACAACTCTCAGGAGATGATGGGATCACATATGTCCCCACCTGCTTCGATCCCATTCCGGTTTCTTCTCTTTCTTTTCTTAAAAGCGGTTGCAAATAGTTTTACTCAACTTTTCACACTCACAAACACTTTAAGTTTTAATAACTAAAAACTATTTACAAATTATTCATTGTGATTTAAAAAGTATTTGTTGTTGGTTTTGTTGTTTTGCTTTTAAAAGGAAAAAAAAAATATCACCCTCCTCCAGGAATCAAACTTGACTAGGTACCACCACTAACTCTGGCACTGGAAGGATGCTAAGTGTTGACTCATGACAACTTTTCAAAGCTCTAAAATATATAATATTCCATGGCCCATGTATCAAATATACATACGTAAAAAGGCCATTGACTTCCCCAAACCACACACTGACTACAGTTCATTTCATGTTGCTCTCACGGAAATGCTGAGTGGACCAAGATATTATGAAGTGAGTTTGTGGTGGAATGAAGACAATTACTGAGGAATGGTCTTTTCAATCCCAAAGTCATCTTAAAGCACAAAAAAGAGGTCGGTTTCAATTTTGTACATGTAAAACATTTCCTTTACATTAGGCATAGTCATAAAAAGCATGTATAAGTTGTTTTGAAAATGCATTGTCATAGAATTTACAAACACGGAGATATCAAACACATTCCCAAAAAACGGCTAAAGTACTGACACAAAACCTGACTCAAAAAGTAAAATTTTCAGTAGACTTGGTTTTCTAACTTGCATATTTAATAATTCAACTGTACCCGAGTTTCACCCATACTGCTTGAAAAACTCACAGATAGTGATGTTACCTCAGTTCATTAGTAGTCAAAGGGCACTGCTTAACTCTAGGTTCTTAATGAATTTCAGAGCCCTGGCACTAGAAAAATGGTATAAGACACAGTTCTGTCTATAAACTGTTCCACAGAAAACAGCTCAAGGCAAATTAGCCTAGAAAAGATAGTGAAACATACTTCATTGTGCTAATTTGACAGCCTAAATATATGTTGTGTGAACATATGTAAATTATATTATGCTTGCTGCATAATACTTCTTAATCTTATCAGTTTGTTAGTTGAAGTAATGTTTTCGGTCTGGCAATGGTTAAATCTTCAGTCTTTTGTTTGTTTATTTTCAAATAGTATGTTAGTCCTTTCTGGAGAAAAACTCGATGAAGACGTAGTTAGTCACGCCTCTCTGAGCCCAAGGGAAAACCCTGAATGGACACTTGCACACGTTACGTATTTCCTATAAGAAAACTGCATTTCTAACTGGATTTCTACCCGAAGTTTATTTCTTTACCCACTAGCTAATTCAACAACTTCACAAAGGTAAATAGGGCTTTCTTAGACCACACTGACGCTTGTGACAGGCAGTAAATAATTCAAGGCCATGGTCCTTATGAGATTATATTTTACAACATTTGACTCACATATAACCTTAGAGGGGAGAAAAATCATATTTCAACCACAGTGTTCTCAACTAAGCCCTTTGATAAAATGATTATTTGATGTGTTCACTGTCCTTTTGAAACAAACCTAAGTTACTCTTCTTATGAGAAAATTGCTTCGAATAATTACGAAACAAAGAGCAATGACCATATACTTTTATAAGCAGGACACCATTTGCACATGACATAGTTAATAAAAACAAACTAGAGAACACTTCTTTACTGTCTTTGGATCTAAAGAAAAATTGATTTTCCCACCTGAAGAGAAATGGATAAATTTTCATAAATGAAGACACGCTTTTCATTTCTAAATCTTAAAAATCCCACTGACTTCCAGTAATATGCTCCCATGAAATCGTCACCTTCTAAACCACAGTCATAACCTGGGATTGTGCTGCTGTGCTTGAAAAATGCTTGACTACTCTTATTTATATCCCTGGGAACCTGCAAGGGAAATTCAGTATCTTATGAAAATTTATCCAATGTCTCTAGTAAAGAGGGAAATGTGATCATGATAATTTACAGTTACTTCCTGGTCTGCTGATTCAATCCATTTCTAATAACAACAAAAAAAATGTAGCTTGCTGTCATAAGCTTGCAATTACGTATCAGAAAGAAAGAAAATTATTCTTTGCCTAGTAAAAATCATCAAGTCCCAATGCGTGGCTGGGATGCTAACCGTCGCACAACACATGCCACTTGGCGATCTGTCTCCTAGGAGAGTCACAGATCTCCCTCCAGTGTTCCCCGCCGGTCCCTTCTGCAGCTGCCGCCAGGACCAGCCGCCCAATCACCTCATCATGGGATCCCCTTTCAGAATCCAAAACCAGAAATTCAACACTTATCTCTTCCAGGCTTTCACAAGGAATATCAAAGACAAACAGTTCATTGAACACTGCATTGGGGGTGCATTTCTTCACATGAGTCTTCTTTTTGGAGATTCTCTTTTTGGCATGGTACAGGTTCACTTTCACGTAAGGGTCTGCAATGGTAGACAACAGACATTACAGGGAGAGAATCTGGCTGCAGACCTGACCTCAGTACAGCAGTGCCCTTATAGATGACTGCATGCCAACAAATGTGATCACAATAAAAATGAGGCAGAACAGAGCGAAAATATGCATAAATCTTGGCTTCTTTCTAGTCAACAAATTGAAAATAGTGAAGAATGTGCAACATAAGAGAAAACATTTCTAAGCCAGAGGATGAGGAAGAAACTCTAATGACAGGATGAAGAGATAATATAAAGGAGAAGACAAGAGAATGTTCTAACGATGCATTCTGATCACTAATAACTCATTCCCATTCCGGAGAATGGGATAGAAGGGGGAAGAAAAACAGAGTGAACATCTAGCCTGACTGAGTTGTATGACTTTGGGTAAGTCTCTCTCCTTCTCTGAACGTAGGTTGCTTTTTCTGTTGAACAGGCATTTAGAATTCACAGTGACAAAGCCCTTTCAGGCTTTAACTTTTTAGTGCATCTTCAATTACCTCCTGGGATTGCTATTTCCCAATGTTGACCTTCCCTTTGTCGTTGTTGTTATGTGGATTTTAGGATCATGCTACTTGATTGCACATTTAATTATGTTATTTTACCTTCTTCTGGTTGCAGCATATGAGTTTGTTTTAGCCCCCTAATCTGAACCTTTAAAACCATACCATGTACTCAACTTCTATTATCAAATAATAATAATAATAATAATAATAAGAGGTGATATTTAGTGAAACATATATTTCTAGTCCTCACAATCCCCCTCAAGATAAGTAGCACATAGTTTGTATAGAGTTTAAGAAACATACCCAAGCTTACTATGTTAAGAAATGGCAGGGTTAGGATTTGAACTCAGATGATTTTAACCCATAGATCATGTGTTCATGCTATATAACAAGGTGTTACTGTTGATTTTTTCATTAGTTTTTTCATTAGTCACAAAACAAAAAGCTAACTCTTAAAACAGATATATAAGAAATTAAAAGAAAACATAATAAAAATAATAGAAGTGTAGGGGTAGGCAGGCTCATTCTAAATAATAAAATAAAGCACTTTTCCCCCAAACCTTTACTTTACATCCATCACTACATTTTTGGCCATGGACTCTCATCTCTGCATGTATCACTACTTTCAGCTTAACCCCAGACATTAACACTATCTTTGGCTTCGAGCTTAGAATTGTGTAGTTTTCTTCTTTTTGCTAATGGCAATGGCTCACTTTATTATTCCATAAAATGAGAAACAGAAAACCAATCATATCACTTGTGATTATGAATAAAATGTAAATCAAAATCATGATTATGCTACTTAACTATTTTCCCCAATGCATTACTCACTTACACACTGAGCCTGAGTCTTTCAGAAGATTCTTACCTGAAAGTCCAGACACATCAGATTTAGGCAGGTGGCGAGCTTTTAAGACAACCACAGTGAGAGTGTTTGTGGTGGACTGATAGCAGAGAGAGATCAGCAACTCACCCCGTCCTGAAGACTTCTAAACAAAGAGAGATGAGGTATGAGCATTTTTATTATTTTCGTAATTTTGAAATTTGTACTTATGCTAACATTTTAAAGCACTATAATAGCATTCTTATTTAAATGTAACTTTTCTACTTATTTTTATTTTAGTGTGTTAAGGAATCCAAAACTAACACGCTTTTGTGCGGTACCCTTCTCCTAAAAACCAACAGCCTTCCATCTTGTGGTCTCTTTAGGTACTGCAGGATGTTAAAATTGTAATGTGTTAGCCACACCCATTACTAAAAATGTTTGAAAGGATATTTAGAGTATAGCCTATACAGAGGTATGTTTAACTTTTGCTTTTTAAATTAAATCTATACTTTTTGAAGTTACTAATAGTAACAAATTATCTAGCTATTTGAACCAATCTGTATAAGGCAAAATGTTAAGTTTGGTTTTATTTTAAATTATTTAACACTGAGATTATTGGAATTTGAATTCAAACCAAATAAAATTTGTTCTGGCTCCCATCACTTTCCAGGTCCAGAAGGTTAATAGAGTTAAAATTCTCTGCCACCAGCCCCCACTCAAAGTTCTCATTTAATCCAAGAAGAGAGTTAAGTATTGAAGAGAATTGACTCAATTTTTAATACTCTGTTTAGACAGTTCCACAGTATCCTTTTTTGTATAAACTTAGGTTTGATCTGTACTTTAAAGACATTATACAAGATTACCAAGAACTCAAAGTACAAGTTTTAACTGAAAGGAACAACATGTAAACTCAGGGCTTAATTATAACTAAGAATGATGGCTGGGCAAGAGCTTCTAAAACTTCAATATTTATACAAAAGCTGACATGGGGTAGTTATATAAATAAACTCTTCAAGAAGAATAAGAGGAGGGCACAGATCTGTATTTCCACTGTGTCACTATATAGCTGTGTGTCTCAAACAAGCTACTTAAGTTTCTGGACCTTGATTTTCATTAATTTCAACAAAGAGACACAGGCAAGGATATGGTCAAAACGAGCCCCTGGTATTCTATGAAATTATGCCTTAGAGACACAAGTTATTCTAAAATACCACAATTGGAATCAATTAAATTCTGCATTAGTATGTAATGTGGAAATAGGATGAAATTTGATTAACTAATGTCTCATTATTTTCTAATATTTCCAGAACTACCAAAGTAGTATAACTCCAAAGGCAGAGTAACTCACTTCCTGTTATATAACATAAAGATGAACATTTATAATTCAATATGATGTGATGTCTCCTCCTTGAAAAGCAATTCTATGAAAAGTCAATATAACTTCCAAATCCTTAGGATAAATTGATTTAATTTAAAATTTCAATTTCGGAGTCAATTATGCTGACCTCGCAACATCTTTGTTACCTAGTTCATGAATAAGAAATATTTGCCTGCATTTAGTTGGAGGGGCATCTGAGTCAAAATACTTGTGACAGAAATTAACAAAACTATTTATATAACTGATATTTAAATATCCATAAAGCTTGCCTACTTGTTTTATATCATTAAAATACCTTAAGCATTTCAGTTATGAATTCAATTAAATTTGTTTCATCTACTCTATTCCCCTGCTCCCTATTTATGATGAATAATAATTAAACAAGGTAAAGATGATATGTATGAAACTTATTATTTTAATGAAAATCCCCTAGATACAAAAAAAGCTACATAAAATGTTTTTTTATCAATAGTTTTAAGCACTAAAAATGAATTACCCTAACATTTCTCTTGATAATCTCCCTGTTCATCAACATTTTTCCATCAGACAGTTCAAGTCCTGCCAGAGGAATAAGGACCTCTCCAATGATATCATCTCTTGAAAACCTGTCAAAACTCAAGACTGTGAAGTGCAAAGCCAACTCTTGGATCTGGGTGTAGGGGATCCCATAGAATGTAAAGGTCTCATCAAAAGCTGGGTCCAAGGTCTTTCTCAGAACTCTGGTTTTCACTTTATGCTTCTTCTCTGGGAGGATGGTCATTTTGATGTACGGGTCTGAGGTCATCGACTGCTCATCCATGGCTGGCAAGCCGCGGGCTTCCTTAATATTGACCACAAATGTTTTCTTCTCAAAGTTGTACTCTAAGGAGAAGAAGAGGGTTCCCAGCTTCTCTTGTTTCTCTTCTGAACTAAGGGAAGTGTTGGACTTTAAGCTATCAGGGGAAACCCCCTCTTTTTCCCCTTCTGAAAAGAGCTTTGGGGTCACATTCTCCAGATCAGGAGGGCTGCCACCTTTGAGATTTGTTTTGGGGAAATTGCCATTGAGATCTCTCTTCTCGAGGTCAAGATGCAATGAATTCTTTGGCAGAGCTGGTTTATTCTTTACTTCATTTTTGTCATCTGCTCCAAACTTCTTTTTGCTACTTAGGTTTTCAGGGTAAATATCAACCCCCTTTAGCACATGTACAAACTTATATGGAGGAGTCTTGTTAGACTTGGATGATTTCCTCTGACAGCAGATCCATGCAAACAGAGAGACTGTGAAGACCAGGCCAAATGCACTGAAGATGCCCACCACTGTGGGGATTTCGTCTGAAAAATCAAATGAGCAATAACATACATTAAAGGGGCCGAGTTGGAGACATGAGCCTATGTGAATGCATTCCGGAGCTGGTAATTGGTGGCACAGATTAAATTACTTTCCAACTGCTCTGGGTATGAGTTATGTACACATTTAACATCACCTTCTGGAATAAACACATCCTTTGTGTGACACACAGAAAACACACACATACACACACACACACACACACACACCATAAAGTAGAAACTTCTCCATTTCAGTAGTTTTCATAAATAAGATGAAAGGTGAAACAGGGCTGGGGTGAGGGGTGGGGGAATACTAAATGACCCTGACCTACCTTGGTGTTCAGATATGAGTCAACTATAGCATGATGGGTCAGTACTAATTGTATTATGTTCTCATTGACATTCTGAAGCTTTCCAGAAGCATCAATTCTTACTGACTATGGAACTTTAAATGCATATTCTTCAGATACTGGGAGAGTCTGTATTCTTAGTAGTTCTTTATTTACCCAGGATCCAAGCAGCAAATATTTAAGAACTCAGTGATTCAGGTAATTTTAAGAACAGGTGGAATATTATCTGCTGTTGTCACAGACTCATTAATACTGTCCACCCAAATTAAAGAACAGTAGTAAAAAAAAGTACATATATTAGGGGGAAATAATTAAAAAGATGAACAATAGGATATTAATATTAAATAACTCATAACACTACAAACTTCTTTAATATCAACCTCAAATAACTCAAACACTGAATTACCTGGAGCACAAATTAGTTTCCCCTAAATAGGATAAAAACCAAATGGTTCTAAATGAATCATCATTCCTCTACATGTAATGAGAAGAGTAAGTGAGTATAGATAATTTAGATTTCAATTTTATTCATAATAGATTTTTTCCAGCATATTTTCACATGGCAAATGGTAATCAAATTGGAATTGGCATTCTTTCCTTGAATGAGGGCACATTAAATTACGCTGACATTAGGTAACATTGATTATGCATGAAGCTTATCATGTTCCATATGTAAGCACATTTCTCCCACAAATGATTAGTAACACTGAAAAAATTAGTGTGAACGCAATATTGCTACACCTGGACACAATGCACCAATTAGTCAATGTTTAATATAATCAAAGTGAATATAACTAATGAAATATTATCTGCATTTTGTTCCATTTCAATCTTTTTTATTTTTCATCCCAAATACTGAGGAATAAAGTTAAAAGTCCCAGTCAGAAAAGGGTTAAGACTTATTTAAATAATCCCTGAGAGAATAATCTTTTGTTACTCTCCTTCCCCATTCCCTCAAATCTTCTGCCTATCCACTTTATAACCACAAAACTAAACTCAAAGAATATACATTAAGCACTAAAACGTTAAGAAAACTGAAAACATAAGAGCAGAAAATAAGAAAGCAAACCAAACAACAATAAAATATTCTGTAGTTTAATTATATCAAGAAAGTAAATCACATAGAGATGAAAAATAAACCTTTGAAGTCTCCAAATAGACAAAGCAACAAATGCTACAGAAAAGGAATGAAGTGAGAGATAAAGACAACCACCCAAACTTAGTACCAGCTTTTCAGTTTTTCCTTCTATTCAAGTCTTTGTGGATGGCAGGAAAAAAAAAAACACTCCTGGCCTCTCTTTAAAATAAAGCCAGGGAGCAAAAGCAAAGTCATGAACTAATAAAAGAAGAACAATAAAAGCCACAGAAAACATTTTCCCCCCTAAATAAACTGAAGGAGTAAGATGGAACCTATTTTTCACTGGTACTGTCTCTGAAAATGCCTCAGTGTTAGAAAATGTATGACTTCCAAATCAAAAATTGGGAATAAACATCACAACAATACAAACTTAATCACCCAAATAGAAGGCTGTGAAAGAAACCCATTTCTGAATGTAATATCACAAATTGTCTCATTCAATATGTATGTCAAATGGCAAAATATTCACTATAACATGGAAAGACTCTCTCACTCCCTATGTATCTTCCACTGATAAGGTCTCAAGCTTTTGAGAGCAAAATTCTCAATCATTTCACTCAGTTTTATAACAATTATCATGCATTTATAGATATCATTCCTATTTACAAACTTCTGTAAAATGTCCTGTGTTTTTGAATACTTATAAAGTAAGTAAAACTCTGGTCTCTTGTCTTTGGAAGGTAATGGGACATAAAAAATATTATTATTTTTTAATTTAAACAAGTACATCTGATTTTATGTATTAGAAGAGAAGAGCGCAATGGTGCCAACAATTTGGTATAGAAAAAGAAAAACTGAACTGGAAAATGGAGTACTACTTCTAGTTTCCAGTAGCTTTTAGCTAACTGCCCTGCAACGCTTCCCTCGTTTCTCTGGGCTTCCATTAGCTCACCTGTAAAATGAAATGGGCTCAGCTATTTCATTTCAAATATCCCTTCAGCTCTATCTAGCATCATAGGATTCTGCCTCTTCCACAAGCAACATATTTCAAGGATACAATAAAGACATATCAGAGAAAACATCTTTATGGTACACCCTGTCCTAAAATATACATCCCCGAACCCCCAATATCTAAGTTGTGTTCTGTATGCCAAGATCAAACCTTTATGTAATCACAGCACATTTGGATTCCCCTAAATTTACCTACAAATAACAATCACCTATAGAATGCATGAAACCAGCAAGCAAACAACAGACTCCTTTTCCTTCCCTAAGCGCGTGCTGCAATTTACAGGGCTACCTGAACGTTTAAGGAACTTCCTGGATGTAAAGGAACCCAAACAGAAGGCAATTTTAAGGAGATACTGAGGAAGGGAGAAACAACAGAGATAAGCCACGATTATTCGTTTATTGTTCTCATTTTCCTTTCAGTTTAACTACCCAGTAAATCTATATTTAACATCTCGCGGAGGGGTGGGGGAAGGATTAAAAAACACGGCCCACCCGAAGTATTCAAAGAACAGCCGCAGTTATAAGTTGAGTAACTTGCTTACCAAATTCCTCCCGGCTGCTAGTGATCGGAGCCATTTTTTGCTGCGTGCTCTGTCCGAGGTGCTGAACGGAAAACTCTCTGGCTCGGTTCACTTGCCTGGATCTGGATCTGAAGCGCCGGCTTTCCCGAGTGCTGAAAACAACAGCACAGAGCCCAGGGGACCTGCGCCTGGAACAGGGAGGAGGCGAAGAGGGAGGTCCGCTCGCCCTCGCACAGTGATTTGCCGCCCCAGTTCCTGTTTTGGCTCTTCTGAGAAGCTCCTCTCTGAGACTCCAGACGTGGCTGAAATCCGAATTGACGCAATCCTGACGCTGCAGGGTGGAAATCAGCACCCCTCCTCTCCGCCCTCCCAGCCTCTCCTCTCTTTTTTCTTTCTTCCTCCCTTCTCTCCTGAGGATTCAACACATACTCATCAATTATTTTAACTGCTAGACTACTGGATATTAGCTTTGCTCTTCTACCGGGGTGACTCAGAGGCACATGGAGATGAGCCCTAAAACTCATCCCTGTCAGTTCCTAATATAAAATCTTTTGCTCGTCTAGATTAGTAAGGATGTGTCTGTGAGTTTTCAGAATAAAGTGATTTATAGAGGCAATTTAAGGGAAGAGTAAGAGAAATGTCTGCATCAAATGACCCATGGTAAAATGCAAGAATATATTTTCTTGCTTTCTACATTTTTCTTTGGTATACCTAGGTTAGAAAACAATTCATAGTACTTTGATCCATTTAAAATAAGATAGCAGTTTTCCCATTATAATCACTTATTTTCTAATGAATTATTGGTCTAAACATTTTGCTGATGCTGTTGCTCCATCTGTCAGCTTTCTTCCCTTTAACGTCTGACATTTGACCAGTTAGAGTACTCAGGAACAGATGGGAATAATCCCTTCTGTATTCAGACTCACTCTCAGTCATGACTTTTGCATATAATAAGACTGCTTCTGGAAGTACATTTCTGGTTAAAAGCCTTGGCTTCTAACAGGGTTGTGCAAAACAATTACAAGGTCAGACCAAAATCTAAAATGGCATTGATAACTATGGGTTATTTTTAAAGGAAACCCTATTTTTTTAAAACCAATTATCTTCCTGAGGTTGAAGAACTGGGGGAAAATATGGTATCAGATTCTGATTAATTTTATTCTGAAGAGTGTGCCTTTTTAAAACAAATGTTTAGCAGTTTTCCAAAGGAGAGAAGTAAGGCTGTAACACTGTCAATTATTGCTCTGTAAAGAATTCTTTTTCTGTAGAGCTCAGTGAGCAAATGACATTCAGTGTGTTCTGGGATGGGGGAGGAGGGGGCACTGGGTGAGTCTCAGCAAGCCACTGTACAAGTGAGAGGTTCCTGCACATTGGCTAGCAGCCACTCTGAGCGTCAGGACTGTGTCTGGGGAAAAATTGGCTTTAGCCTTTTGCATCATGGAAAATTTTACAAACCAGAGTCCCTTTTCTTTCCCTTCTACTGCTCCCACATACTTGGCATTTTAACATTCTTTTAACAGATTTTTTTTAACCTTATATCTTCCTGCTATGAAATCACACAGACTAATTTACTGTATTTAAATTTCCATTGGCAGAATCTGTGATTTGTATCCTTATCTTTTCACTTCATTCAGATTTCTTGCTTCCTCAGTTAAGCACGCACCTACTGGGATTGTCGCTAGGAATAAACATCCACGAGATGAAAGAGAAAGTGACATTTGTTTGTGGTGCATATCACAGGTAGACAAAATATATTGAGTGAGGTTTACTAATATGTGTGTTTTTTAGCTAAGTTATTGCTAACATATGGATAAACTCATTTGTTGTAAACATAAGTACCTTATGTGTATGTTCCAAATAAATTAGTATCTTATTAATTTTACCTCCAAGTGGTAAAATGCTGTCATCTAAAATCTGTCTAGACTGTTTAAACTCTGTTTCTACAGAACCCCACCCCACCCTGGGCTGTCTCATTTCTAAGGACACCTTGTGATAAGGTTACCTCTTGCCCAGAGCTAATGCTATTGTGGATGTAGTAACTGTTTCATTGCTTGCTTTAAAAGCAAACTGAAAATAAATGTTATTAACTAAAATGCTAGAGGTTTTCCTCATTTTTACTTAGTGAATAGCATATTCTTCAGTATCCAATCTCTTTAAAAGAGCTTCTAGCAATACCAGATGAGGAGTGGCAGCTCATCCAAAACAGAGTAAAAAGCCTGTAAGTTTCTTATGCTTGAGATTCACACCCTACCACATTATTACGTTGTTCTTTTTAGATCCAGCAAACAAGTAATCAACTTGCTGACGCCAGCAATACCACTGTTGCAGCAGAGACTTGGGAGGAGGGGTTGTTGCTAGGTAACAACCTTTTTGCCACCCAAAACATACAGCCTCAAACAAGTTCCTGCCCTGGGAAACAGTCTGTTCTGTACAAGTGGCAGTGTTTACTTCAGAATGATTCTTTGATTGTCGAAATAGTTCAGCGTTTACTCTACTTTATTTTCGATTCTGATTGCAAATGTTCATGTATATTGAGAAACAATGAACAGAACACTTGAATTCAATTTGGTTTTAAGAAATCCAGTTGAATTGATGACTCATGATATGATTGCATTTATCCATTTTATTCATGTTGTTTATTCTAATTTAATATATAGTTTGATTTATATTTTAAATAGTCTATTAATTATATAGTTTAATTTATATTTTCTTCATTCCCTTACTTAAAAATATTGGTGGATGTATTTAGAACTTTCTGTTAGGCAAAAGAAAATTTTGAAAGGTTTTAAAAATGTTGCAATGAGCTTCAGTATTCTTTATTAATACCTAAATTGGTAATATAAAGGCATTTTACTGGTATTTGGGTAGAGTAGAATGAAGTATTTGATCATGGATAATGGATAATTGTTTTAATGTTCCATATCATTCTTGTAAGGATGCTGGCTCTGGTGTTAATGGAGTCGATTTATATTATCAGCACGCCCAAGTCAAAATCCTGCAAGACAAATGTTTTCACAGAAATCCCTTTATTATACACCATTCTACATTTATTTTTCTTCAACATTTTCAGCATTTACTATGTGCCAATATAAGTCAGGCTTTAATGGCCCATGAGTAAGAAATTTTCTAGGCCAAATCTAAAAAAGCTTATAATCTTCCTTCCTCTCCTTTTTTTTTTTCTTTCAACACATACTTACTAGACATGTACTACTTTCTAGATTTTTGGTAAACAAGAGATATAAACTGGCCAGGATGACAGAAATGATCTTTGCCCTCATGGGACTTAAAGACCACAGGAGAAATGGGCAGCCCTTCTTCTAAAACTGGTGGCGGGGGCTATTGGGTCATAATTATTCTCATATTTCTCTTACCTGGTCATTTCTACTAAGCTTGGTCAGCACCATGCCACAGCTATCACCAAACTCTACATTGAGTCTGTCTTATTGACCCTTTTCTTCATATCTGTAGATTCTTACATTCAATTTTTATTCTTCCATCTTCTATGTCTGTGCACATCTTTCCTCTCTTTTAAGAGCCAGTTCAAGTTTCATATACACTCTGAAGTATGTGATTTAGCATCACTCATGGATTTATTGTGATTTGAACTCTTATAGCACTACCTGTAGTGAAATCCTTTAAGTCAGCTTGATATATTTTTGGCTATATACAAACAATTCCCAAAATAGTCCATTCCAAATAGTCCATTAGGTTCTAATTAATTCATGGTGTTATTTACACGACAGTCAAGAGGACCAACCAATCTAAAATAATTAATTTGAGAAGATTACCCTTATTAATAATTCCTAGCAACTTTGACAAGAAAAAAAAAGATCAAAACATACAAATTACAATGACACAAGAGAGCATAAAATGTCAGTCACAGAACAGGAGTTAGAGGACATATTTACAATGCATATTTCTGACATAGAAACTGTATCCAGAAATATGTAAAGGAAAATAAATTTTTGAAAGATAGATATTCCAATTTAAAAATGGACAAGCACCTTGGAGAGATACTTCACTAAGAAATATGCACTATCTGGATAGCTCATGATTACATGAAAGGAGTATAGCAGCAGCAATCATCAGAAAAACATGTTGATACCCCCCACAGGTTGGGGGAGACCATATCAAATGTTGATAAGAATGCAGGGCACAAGAAGTCGTATTTACTCCTTTGGAGCTTTCATATCAATCACAAGCATTTTGAGAAACTGGCAGAATCCGCTTTAGTAGAACAAAAATGTATGTCATGGTCATGCAACTCTAACCAATGTTAATTTCTATATACTACATACAAACACTAGGATTTTGATAGCAGCAATATTGGCAGTCGGCAAAAATTGGGAAGAACTAGCCTCTTCTATCAATACTAGACTGGATAAATAACTTTATATGGTAGAATACTATACAGGAATGAAAATAACAAAATGTTCTACATAGCCAGGGTGACGATCATAAAGATAATGTTAAATGAAAGAAACCAGAACGAAGTGACTACACACTGTAAGATTCACTTATTTAAGTTTCACACACACAAAAAGAAAAGTAATCAACAGAAGTCATACGGTGATTATCTTTATAGGAAATGGAGCACAGTGGAGATATCTGGGGTGCTAATGTTCTATTTCTTAATCTAGGCAGTAGTCGGTGGGTGTTTTTGTTTTTGTTTTTGTATTTCATTGAGTTGCTCAGTAAAAATATGTGTACTCTTCTGTGTATATGTTTATATGTCAAAAAAGTTTACCCCAAATTGTTGTGTTTGCACTTAACCATTGCTTCTTATTTTATGAAGGTAAATTTCATTAACAAGGAAAAACAGCCCCCAAATGGAGTCACTTTTACTAAGTCCCACCAAGACTTACTATCTAAACTAACTGTAGTTTCAGCTTCCATCAGGAATGGAACTGAAGTGACTCAGTGAGGAATTTCCTGGTCAGTACTAGTGAGGTAGTCTACCTGATAAGGATCCCCACCTTCTGCTAGGAAAGGTGACCTTGCTGAAGTGGTCCACTCTTTTAACTTCCTTGTCCCACCCTCTTTATGCCTCTAAAAACCTTTCATTTTGTACAGCTCTTGGGATTTCCTTCCATTTGCTAGATGGAATACTCTCTGATTCATAAATCATTTAATAAAGCCAATCAGATCTTTAAATTTACCCAGTTGAATTTTTGATCTTTAACAATTTCTGAGGACATATATAACCAAGTTGGGGTAAATATTAAGGCAAATGCATGCAAGAGAAGAAAAATGACTGGCAAACAT